CGGCTGAGCCCTCACACCCGGTCCCCCCCCAGGGACCTGACTCAGATGGGGATCACCCTGCCTGGGCACCAGAAGCGTATCCTTTGCAGTATTCAGGGGTTCAAGGACTGAGCCCCACCGCGGAGCCAGGATCCCGCCGTGCACCCCATCTTCCTGGCCGGATGGGCCTCTGGTGCTGTGCCCACCCCCATGGCCCGCCTGGCTGTGGCTGTGGGGGCCTCAAGGGCGATGTGGGGGGCTAGGTTTAATATATGCACACACGTATCTATTTTTATAAATAAACAGGACCAAGTTCTTGCCTGGTCCATTTCTTACCCCGGCCCCTAATCCCACCCTAAGCACCAAGCACCACACCCAGAATTCTGGAAAAAGATTCTTTATTGCAGCTGTGGCCACAACCTGGCAGCTCTGATGGGGGCGGCCATCCCGCCCCCCAGGCTCGGCACCCCCTTCAGGAGTGGGGTGCTGGCTGGCAGCAGTGAAAGCAGCAGTGAGGCCTGGTACCCCTGGGCAGGAATGGGGGGAACCATGGGGCCCTGTGGAGTGGGGGGGGAGGGGACCGTGACTCAGGCCTTACAGCCTGAGGGGGGTGGGGATGCTGGTCAGGGCCCTGGGTCCTGCTTGGGGCCGCAATGAAGGTGGAGCTGGAATGGAGGGCCCCCCCCCCACGCGGCAGGCCGGGGCCTAGGAGGCTGGCCCTCAAGTCTGGGCCCGAGCGGTGTGGCACTTCCGGCAAAGCACATGTCCATCCAGGGGGAAGCAGCCATTGTCATCAGCCTCGATGGACAGGGGCTTCCCACAGTCCTGGGGGAGGAAGAGTGGCCTGACTGGGCCTGGTCCCCACACCCCTCCCCGTGCACAGGGTCTTCCCAAGGCCCAGAGCTGCCCCGGTCCCAACCACCTCTGGTCCCCACCTCTCTCTGCCCAAATGGGCAGTGGGCAGGGCTGCTCCAAGGTGCCCCCCACTGTCCCTAGCCCTCCTCACATCCTGACTTCTTCCACCCTCTCCCCAGACTGCACCCCCCTCCCCTGGCCTCAGGCGTCCCTCCAGGTCTCTCCACAATGCAAGATGACCACCCACAGGGTGACCTCTAGAATGAAACGGGGGCCCCCAACACGTTGGTGAGCAGCACCCCGCCCCCGGCACGCCCAGAAGCAGGAACACAGACCTCACACTTGTAACAGTTCATGTGGAAGTTCTTTTCCAGAGCCACCACCCGCACGGTCTCATCCCGGCCGGGCTCTGGCATGATGGGCTCCGAACAGACAGAGCACTTCGGGGCGTACTGCCTGGGGGGCAGAGGGGCACGGCGGTGACTGCAGGGGGCACAGAGGGCCCAGACCCCCACCCACACTGCGTCCCACCTGCAGAAGGTCCTCGGAACAAGGACCAGCCTCCTGACTGGCCTCACAAGGGTCTCCGCCCCTCGCTCACCCCCCAGACATCATCCTGACACACCTTCGCTGCCTTCTACCCCACCACGTGCAGGAGGGACCCTCTTGCCCAGCCTGGTCCCAGACCCTTGCCCAGCCCAGCTCTGGGGTGGCTACGGTCCTCAGGGGGCCATGGAGAGCCTGGGGGAGTACAGTGGGAGGTCAAGGTCTGGCCCCAAGTGAGGTCCTCAAATGAGCCCCTCAAGAGTATGGTCAGAGGGGAACCAGACTCGGGTCTCACAGCAATGCCCCTTAGCTAGCGATGGGGTTTTGCTGGGAAAAACTGAGTCTGTGGGGGTCCAGACCCAGACTGTGTGCAGAAACAAGCCCCTCACTCAGTGTACAGGACACGATTCACCCAGAGTGAGCTCGGCCCTCAGGCAGGGATGCCGCCAGCTTCGGCCCCCAGGATGCCAGGAGGGGCAGGCCCTCACCTGTGGTAGTCAGGGACGCAGTGGGGCCGGTTGGCCTGGTCCACGATGAAAGAGGTGCCCTCCAGGGGGCAGGCGCACACCACACAGGTGAAGCACTGTGGGTGGTAGGCCCTGCCGGTGGCCCTCAGCATGCGCTCTGTGATGGGCTGCCCACAGGTGCTGCACTTCTCCAAGGTGTCCTGCAGGCACGAGGGCAGTGGGCAGGGGCTCCAAGGCCCCCCACCCGGCCAGCTCCTGCACCACCCCACGCTGACGCCCATTCCCAGCCCCCAGGTCATGCTGCATGGGCAGGCGTCCCGAGGCCCCACCCGGCAGCCCCTCGTGGCTGTCCCCACTCACGGTGTAGCAGCCCTCGCAGTGGGGCGCCCCCTCCAGGCTGTAGAACTGCTGTCCCTGCAGCTGCCGAGCACACTGGTGGCAGGTGAAGCAGGCGATGTGGAAGAGCTGGCCCAGAGCACGGACCGCTGGCTGGGCCCGGGCCAGGGGCTGCTGGCAGCGGCCACAGAGCTCTGCGGGGGCCGGGGAGCTGGGCGTCAGCGTGAGGGGGACACGGGGGGCATGGAGGTGGCGGGGCCCACTGCTGGCGGCCATGGCCACAGAGCTCTATAGGAGCCGGGGAGCTGGGCGTCAGCGTGAGGGGGACACGGGGGGCATGGAGGTGGCGGGGCCCACTGCTGGCGGCCATGACCACGGAGCTCTATAGGAGCCGGGGAGCTGGGCGTCAGGGTGAGGGGGACACGGGGGGCATGGAGGTGGCGGGGCCCACTGCTGGTGGCCATGGCCACAGAGCTCTATAGGAGCCGGGGAGCTGGGCGTCAGCGTGAGGGGGACACGGGGGGGCAGGGGCAGAGGTGGCGGGGCCCACTGCTGGCGGCCATGGCCGCGGAGCTCTATAGGAGCTGGGGAGCTGGGCGTCAGCGTGAGGGGGACACGGGGGGCGTGGGGCCAGGGCTCACCGCTGGGGGCTGCACCCGGCCTCTGGGGCTGCTCCATGTCCTGCATAAGTTGCTGGGTCAGCTGCTCCAATTCCTCCACCTCCTTCAGCGTCAGGGGGCCAGGGGTCCCAGAGGAGCGCACCTGAAACCCCAAGGCCTCCCTCAGGCTGTGAGGTCCTCTTCCCAGCTTCCTGGAGGCTCGGGGCTGACCCTCCAGGCGGTGTGAGCCCATGCCCATCCCAGGCCCCACACAAGTAACTGAGGGAAGGGACGCCCCTGAGCCTAGACACGTCCACCCCTTGCCCGGCCCTCCCTGGGCGGCACAGACAGGCCAAGGATGGGCCAACACAGGCCACAAACAGCAGCTCAGCTCACAGAAGCGCCGACACGCCATGGCCACGCAGACGCCACGAAACATGCCACAGACCACCCAGGCCACACAAGGCGGGGGACACCTACCGTCCGCCTGCTGCCAGGCAGCGGGAGCGTGAGGACACAACACAGGTGGTGTGGTTAGAGCCCAGGCCCCAGGCTGCCCCAGAGCTCCCGGCCCCCACACTGCCAGGCAGGGGATGGTGGAGCCAGGTGGGGCAGAGGCTAGGGGGCACTGTTGCACCCCCAAGAATGGAGATGGTGCCTCAGGCTGTGCCTGACCCGGAGACACTTGGTAGGAGGACCGGCACTCCTCCCAGAACTGCACCCCCCACCACGGACCAGAACCCCCGCCAACCATCCTGCCTGTCCACGGCACCTTTCTCTTTGCTAGGCCACTAATCCAAGGGGAGCACCCGTCCCTCCATCCAGAGCTGTGAAGGCTTCTCGGCCAGGGAGCAGCGTTCCACCACCGTCACACGCTCCTGAGCCTGCCTGGTCCCCTGTGGACTCCCATGTCCCCCTGTTCCCTGACAGGGGTCCTCCTGGACCCATTCACAGCACAAGGTCACTCTTGGCTCTCCGTCCTCCGCCAGTGGCTCCATGAGGCAGCAGATGGGACAAGGCCACTGCTGGGCCACTCTCCCACTCCATTTCCCTGGCACCATGAGCTGGTCACTAATCCACCTGGACACCCACAGTCCTCCCAGGTGCACCTGCTCACTGCTGCTCCCCGCTGCTTGTCAGCTGCTACACCAAAGGCACGCAGACGTGACCTCCTCAGTGCCACCTCAGTCACTGTCCAGCATGGGACGTGGGACCCTGGGGCCTCCGCTCTGCCAGCTCTGCCACCTTGGGCTTGAGGCCCCCAACCCTCCCATACCACACCCACTGCTCCGTGGTCCCGCTCACAAGGCTGAGTCCTCCACACCAGCCCTTCCCAGTTCCCAGCATCCTTCTCGTCCTGCCCCAGCCTGTTTCTCCAAGGAGCTCACCACCATCACTAACCTGGTCCAATCTCCTGTGCCGCCCCAGCCCCTGCCGCCAGCTGCAGAGCCTTGGAGAGCTGGTCACCCGGCAGGGGAGCATACAGCGCCTTGGTGCCCTCCCCGCCTCACTCCTGTCTGGGAATGGGCTCTGGGGACGCCCAGTCGGCTTCCCCACCGCAGCTGCTCCCAGCCTTTCCGTCCCCACAGGCCCCTGACGGCTTCGCCCCTCACTCAGGATGACCTCACAGCCTGTGGAACAGAGAAGCTGGAAGCCGGCCAGTGTCTGCTCCCTCCCCATCTTTGCTCCGCAGAAAACGGCGGGACGCGCGGCCCTCGCCCCTGGCGGCCTGCACCAGGGCCGCCTCCGGACCCGGGCTGTCACAGTGCCTGCCCACCCGCCCCCCGGGCCATGGCCCTCACTGCTCACAGCCCTGCCCCGGGCCCCTCAGGGCAGGGAGCTCTTGTCACAACTGTCCCTCCTTAGCCCCTTCCAGTCTGCCCCAGGACCCAAGGGGGCCTGCCCGTGGCCACCTAAGATGTCCTAACAGTACGTGGCTGGCCTCTCGCCCGTTTTCCTCAGTCCTCCGCTGAAGAGTGCTGCAACCTTGTCCTCTCTTCACTGTCCTCAGCAACACCATGTGGCCATTCGACTCTGCCACCCCTCAATCTTCCCCACGATGCCCCATGCGCCCCTCCCGTCACCGCCACGGCGCACGCACCTGCAGCAGGAAGTCCACCCTCCATGGCTAACTGCCGGCAGCTCCCCTCAACGTCCTGCTCCAAACGGAGCTCCCTCCTCTTCCCTGCAAGCCGTTTCCCCTCCGGACTTCACTTCTCTATCTGGTTCTCCCCGCCGCCTGCAGCCTCCTCCGCTGCCAGCCCTCCTCCTCGTGCAGCCTTATCAGTTCCCAGCCCAGCCACGGCCCTTCCTCTGCAGCAGCCTGGACTTGGAACCTATTGTTCACTGGCCAAAGTCACTGTGGCCCCAGTACAGACCGCACACCTCTGCTGGGAACACCCCCAAAGTCGCCAAAAGCACTATTTTCACTGCCCCCACCCCAAAACCGCAATGACTCGCCCTCGCGTTTCCTCTGTCCCAGCCCCACCGGCCGCTCCCACCCAGCTACTTTCTCTTCTCCAATACCCTGTGCACCGTGCCCTAGGGTGGTGCCCACTGGTTCCCTGTCCCGGCCCTTCCATCCTCCACCCTCCCTCCCGGGCACATCAGCTCCCTGGAGCCCTCCTCAGCTTGCAGTCTCCACGCTGGGCCCTGGTCTGCACCCTTGCGGGACAGGGCTCTGTGGCGCTCACGGGTACCTGGCATTCCTGCCTGTGTGTGTGCGTATGCACAGGCATGGTGTCCCCTAGGCCGCCAGGCGAGATGACCCTCTGCTGGCCAGACCCTGGGTGCTGGCGGCAGGAAGCCCGGAGTCGCTGCTTCCCTGGGGCATTCAGGCCAGGAGCCTAGGCCCATCTGCGGGAGCTCACTTCACTGCACAACCCCAGTGTCAGGTAGCGTGTTCAAGATGGGCCTCTGAGCCTGGCCTGCGGTCACCCACCCTCTGAGCCCCGGGTGTCCCTCCTGTGTCCTGAACACCCCGGCACCACAGAGCTGGCCTGGCCATGCCACCATTGCCCTGTTCTGACCACAGGATGGGCCACGGGCAGGACCACAGAGGCCCTCAAGAAGAACGCAGATTGGACGCCCAGTCAGTGATCTACGCTGGTCCCCACCCTCAGGGGACCCTGCCAGGTCCTTCCTCTTCTGCTTGGCCCTGGCCCAAGTCAGGGAAGCTCCCACACCACCACTCAACTCCCACTGTGCTCGCCTTCGTGCCTGCTCCAGACTCGGCCCTGCCCTGCCCCCGGCGCCTGCGGCCGCCCTCCCTCACCTGGTTTGGAGCCGGTGGTGGCGGGGCCACCGACTGCTGCTTCTGCGGCACACGGGGCTTCTCCCTCTGCTGAGCAGAGGTGACACCGGAGGGCTGATGGGAGCCTGTGCCCACGGCAGAGGGAGCTTCAGGAGACCCCAACTTCTGACTGGGCTGTGGCGCAGGTCCACTTGGGGCTCCAGGGCTGAACTTGGAGGCCACAGGAGTAAACCTGGGAGCCACGGGAGAAAACTTAGGGGCTGGGGGACCTCGCGGCTGGGTGTGGGCCAGAGACACAGGCTGGGCCTGGGCAGGAGCCGTGACCCGGGCAGGAGCGGGGGCCTGGGGCTGGGCCTGGAGCTGAACCTTAGGCCAGGCCTGGGGCTGAGTCTGGCTCTGGGGTAAGGCCTGAGCCTGGGACAGGGGCTGGGAGCTAGAGGGGGCCTTCCAAGGAGGCAGGGGTGCTGCCCCTCCAGTTGCAGGCCTAGGACTGGATTTGGGAGTGAAAGGCGTGGCCACCGGTGGAGGCACATATCCAGAGGACACCTGCAGGGAGGCGAGGAGAGAGGACTGAGGTCAGAGACCACGCCCTCAGGTGCCCTAGTCCCTACGCCCCGCCTCTCCTCTCCCAGCCCTCACCCGGGCCTTGAAGGGGTCGTTCTTGGTCATGTCGTCCAGCAGCGAGGACAGCGAGTCCATCTCCAGGTCAATGCTGCTCACCTTCTCCCTGGACTGCAGGTCAGGGTCAGAGGGGCCCAGGCCTCCATTCCGTCCACCCACCCACGCAGGCAGCGGGGAAGGAGCCGGGCCTCCCTACCTGTGGTGGGAGCCGTGTGGCCGCCTCCGGCCCGCCCTCCTCCTCCAGCGGGGGCGGCGGCGAAGGGAAGAGCTCGTCCTCCAGGGGTGCAGGGGGGAAGGGCTCCTCGATCGGGGGCGGGGGCGGCGGGAAGGGGCCGCCCAGGGCACCCTCCGCGTCCTCAGCATCACCGAGCGGCGGAGGGGGCGGCAGGGGAAGGTCTGGGGGGAGCGCCAGGGGGTCGTCAGCAGAGGCCCCTCCCTCACCTCCGCCTCCAGGCCCCCTCCATCGGCCGCCCCAGCCCTGCGCCCAGCTCGCCCTGGGCCCGCGGACGTGAGAAGGGCCGCAGGGCGCCGGGTCAGACGGGGCACCGCCCGGCCCCACTGCGCAGAGCGCCCCCCGAGGGCAGGAGTTCTGGCGCACAGCCGCCCGGGCCGGCGGCGTTTGGCCCGGCCTCAGGCCTTGGCTCCCGGCCACGAGCAGCGATGAGTAAGAACTGCTCGGCCCGGGGCTCTGCAGGCGGCCCACCGGGGGTCCCTGCGCCCGCCCTCGCAGCCCCGGCCCGCTGGAGCCCCCTGACCCGTCCCGGCCCTTCCTCGGGCCCCGCAGCGCTGCAGCCCGGCACTTCCCGTCCCCGGCCGGCCGCCGCCCCACCGTCCCCCCGCACCCCTCTGCACCCCGTTACCCAGGCGGGCCCCCACCGGCGTACCTTCGGGGGGCGGCGGGGGAACCTCGCCCGCCCGGCCCATCTGCGCGCGCTGCGGCCCGGCGGCCGCGGGCAGCTCGCCGTCGCCGGGCCGGAAGGGGTTCACTTTGGGCTTGGGGGCCACCACCGGGCCGAACTTCTTCTGCGGCGCGTAGAAGGCGGGCGCCGACACGGCGGCGGCGGGGGGCGGGCG